TCTTGTCTGTGTGAGTGTCTTTCTGTGTGAGTGACTTGTCTTGTCTGTGTAAGTGACTTGTCTGTGTAAGTGACTTGTCTTTTCTGTGAGTGTCTTGCCTTGTCTGTGTGAGTGTCTTGCTGTGTAAGTGACTTGTCTTGTCTGTGTGAGTGTCTTGTCTGTGTAAGTGACTTGTCTGTGTGAGTGACTTGTCTTGTCTGTGTGAGTGTCTTGTCTGTGTAAGTTACTTGTCTGTGTGAGTGACTTGTCTTGTCTGTGTAAGTGACTTGTCTGTGTGAGTGACTTGTCTTGTCTGTGTGAGTGACTTGTCTGTGTGAGTGAGTCGTCTTGTCTGTATGAGTGACTTGTCTTGTCTATGTAAGTGAGTAGTCTTGTCTGTGTGAGTGTCTTGCTGTGTAAGTGAGTCGTCTTGTCTGTGTGAGTGTCTTGCTGTGTAAGTGAGTCGTCTTGTCTGTGTGAGTGAGTCGTCTTGTCTGTGTGAGTGTCTTGCTGTGTAAGTGAGTCGTCTTGTCTGTGTGAGTGTCTTGCTGTGTAAGTGAGTCGTCTTGTCTGTGTGAGTGAGTCGTCTTGTCTGTATGAGTGTCGTGCTGTGTAAGTGAGTCGTCTTGTCTGTGTGAGTGTCTTGCTGTGTAAGTGAGTCGTCTTGTCTGTATGAGTGTCTTGCTGTGTAAGTGACTTGTCTTGTCTGTGTGAGTGACTTGCTGTGTAAGTGAGTCGTCTTGTCTGTGTAAGTGTCTTGTCTGTGTGAGTGTCTTGCTGTGTAAGTGACTTGTCTTGTCTGTGTGGGTGTCTTGCTGTGTAAGTGACTTGTCTTGTCTGTGTGAGTGTCTTTTTGTGTGAGTGACTTGTCTTGTCTGTGTAAGTGACTTGTCTGTGTAAGTGACTTGTCTTGTCTGTGTAAGTGACTTGTCTTTTCTGTGAGTGTCTTGCCTTGTCTGTGTGAGTGTCTTGCTGTGTAAGTGACTTGTCTTGTCTGTGTGAGTGTCTTGTCTGTGTAAGTGACTTGTCTGTGTGAGTGACTTGTCTTGTCTGTGTGAGTGTCTTGTCTGTGTAAGTGACTTGTCTGTGTGAGTGACTTGTCTTGTCTGTGTAAGTGACTTGTCTGTGTGAGTGACTTGTCTTGTCTGTGTGAGTGTCTTGCTGTGTAAGTGAGTCGTCTTGTCTGTGTAAGTGACTTGTCTGTGTAAGTGAGTCGTCTTGTCTGTGTGAGTGTCTTGTCTGTGTAAGTGAGTCGTCTTGTCTGTGTGAGTGACTTGTCTGTGTAAGTGAGTCGTCTTGTCTGTGTAAGTGACTTGTCTGTGTAAGTGAGTCGTCTTGTCTGTGTGAGTGTCTTGTCTGTGTAAGTGAGTCGTCTTGTCTGTGTAAGTTTCTTGCTGTGTGAGTCGTCTTGTCTGTGTGAGTGTCTTGTCTGTGTAAGTGAGTCGTCTTGTCTGTGTAAGTGAGTCGTCTTGTCTGTGTGAGTGACTTGCTGTGTAAGTGACTTGTCTTGTCTGTGTGAGTGTCTTGCTGTGTAAGTGAGTCGTCTTGTCTGTGTAAGTGAGTCGTCTTGTCTGTGTGAGTGTCTTGCTGTGTAAGTGACTTGTCTTGTCTGTGTGAGTGTCTTGCTGTGTAAGTGAGTCATCTTGTCTGTGTGAGTGTCTTGCTGTGTGAGTCGTCTTGTCTGTGTAAGTGACTTGTGTGTATAAGTGCGTCGTCTTGTCTGTGTGAGTGTCTTGTCTGTGTAAGTGAGTCGTCTTGTCTGTGTGAGTGACTTGTCTGTGTAAGTGACTTGTGTGTGTAAGTGAGTCGTCTTGTCTGTGTAAGTGACTTGTCTGTGTAAGTGAGTCGTCTTGTCTGTGTAAGTGACTTTGTGTGTAAGTGAGTCGTCTTGTCTGTGTGAGTGTCTTGCTGTGTAAGTGAGTCGTCTTGTCTGTGTGAGTGACTTGTCTGTGTAAGTGACTTGTGTGTGTAAGTGACTTGTCTTGTCTGTGTAAGTGACTTGTATGTGTAAGTGACTTGTCTTGTATGTGTAAGTGACTTGTCTTGTCTGTGTAAGTGACTTGTCTGTGTAAGTGAGTCGTCTTGTCTGTGTAAGTGACTTGTCTTGTCTGTGTAAGTGACTTGTCTGTGTAAGTGAGTCGTCTTGTCTGTGTAAGTGACTTGTGTGTGTGAGTGACTTGTGTGTGTGAGTGACGTGTGTGTGTGAGTGTCTTGTCTGTGTAAGTGACTTGTCTGTGTAAGTGAGTCGTCTTGTCTGTGTGAGTGTCTTGCTGTGTAAGTGTCTTGTCTGTGTAAGTGAGTCGTCTTGTCTGTGTAAGTGAGTCGTCTTGTCTGTGTAAGTGACTTGTGTGTGTAAGTGACTTGTGTGTGTAAGTGAGTCGTCTTGTCTGTGTGAGTGTCTTGCTGTGTAAGTGACTTGTGTGTGTAAGTGACTTGTCTGTGTAAGTGAGTCGTCTTGTCTGTGTGAGTGTCTTGCTGTGTAAGTGTCTTGTCTGTGTAAGTGAGTCGTCTTGTCTGTGTAAGTGAGTCGTCTTGTCTGTGTAAGTGACTTGTGTGTGTAAGTGACTTGTGTGTGTGAGTGACTTGTGTGTGTGAGTGTCTTGTCTGTGTAAGTGACTTGTCTGTGTAAGTGAGTCGTCTTGTCTGTGTAAGTGACTTGTGTGTGTAAGTGACTTGTGTGTGTGAGTGACTTGTGTGTGTGAGTGTCTTGTCTGTGTAAGTGACTTGTCTGTGTAAGTGAGTCGTCTTGTCTGTGTAAGTGAGTCGTCTTGTCTGTGTAAGTGACTTGTGTGTGTGAGTGACTTGTGTGTGTGAGTGACTTGTGTGTGTGAGTGTCTTGTCTGTGTAAGTGACTTGTCTGTGTAAGTGAGTCGTCTTGTCTGTGTGAGTGTCTTGCTGTGTAAGTGTCTTGTCTGTGTAAGTGAGTCGTCTTGTCTGTGTAAGTGAGTCGTCTTGTCTGTGTAAGTGACTTGTGTGTGTAAGTGACTTGTGTGTGTAAGTGACTTGTCTGTGTAAGTGACTTGTCTTGTCTGTGTAAGTGACTTGTCTGTGTAAGTGAGTCGTCTTGTCTGTGTAAGTGACTTGTGTGTGTGAGTGACTTGTGTGTGTGAGTGACGTGTGTGTGTGAGTGTCTTGTCTGTGTAAGTGACTTGTCTGTGTAAGTGAGTCGTCTTGTCTGTGTGAGTGTCTTGCTGTGTAAGTGTCTTGTCTGTGTAAGTGAGTCGTCTTGTCTGTGTAAGTGAGTCGTCTTGTCTGTGTAAGTGACTTGTGTGTGTAAGTGACTTGTGTGTGTAAGTGAGTCGTCTTGTCTGTGTGAGTGTCTTGCTGTGTAAGTGACTTGTCTGTGTAAGTGACTTGTGTGTGTAAGTGACTTGTCTGTGTAAGTGAGTCGTCTTGTCTGTGTGAGTGTCTTGCTGTGTAAGTGTCTTGTCTGTGTAAGTGAGTCGTCTTGTCTGTGTAAGTGAGTCGTCTTGTCTGTGTAAGTGACTTGTGTGTGTAAGTGACTTGTGTGTGTGAGTGACTTGTGTGTGTGAGTGTCTTGTCTGTGTAAGTGACTTGTCTGTGTAAGTGAGTCGTCTTGTCTGTGTAAGTGACTTGTGTGTGTAAGTGACTTGTGTGTGTGAATGACTTGTGTGTGTGAGTGTCTTGTCTGTGTAAGTGACTTGTCTGTGTAAGTGAGTCGTCTTGTCTGTGTAAGTGAGTCGTCTTGTCTGTGTAAGTGACTTGTGTGTGTGAGTGACTTGTGTGTGTGAGTGACTTGTGTGTGTGAGTGTCTTGTCTGTGTAAGTGACTTGTCTGTGTAAGTGAGTCGTCTTGTCTGTGTGAGTGTCTTGCTGTGTAAGTGTCTTGTCTGTGTAAGTGAGTCGTCTTGTCTGTGTAAGTGAGTCGTCTTGTCTGTGTAAGTGACTTGTGTGTGTAAGTGACTTGTGTGTGTAAGTGACTTGTATGTGTAAGTGACTTGTCTTGTCTGTGTAAGTGACTTGTCTGTGTAAGTGACTTGTCTGTGTAAGTGAGTCGTCTTGTCTGTGTAAGTGACTTGTCTTGTCTGTGTAAGTGACTTGTCTGTGTAAGTGAGTCGTCTTGTCTGTGTAAGTGACTTGTGTGTGTGAGTGACTTGTGTGTGTGAGTGACTTGTGTGTGTGAGTGTCTTGTCTGTGTAAGTGACTTGTCTGTGTAAGTGAGTCGTCTTGTCTGTGTGAGTGTCTTGCTGTGTAAGTGTCTTGTCTGTGTAAGTGAGTCGTCTTGTCTGTGTAAGTGAGTCGTCTTGTCTGTGTAAGTGACTTGTCTGTGTAAGTGAGTCGTCTTGTCTGTGTAAGTGACTTGTCTGTGTAAGTGACTTGTGTGTGTAAGTGACTTGTGTGTGTGAGTGAGTCGTCTTGTCTGTGTAAGTGACTTGTCTTGTCTGTGTAAGTGACTTGTCTGTGTAAGTGAGTCGTCTTGTCTGTGTAAGTGACTTGTGTGTGTGAGTGACTTGTGTGTGTGAGTGACTTGTGTGTGTGAGTGTCTTGTCTGTGTAAGTGACTTGTCTGTGTAAGTGAGTCGTCTTGTCTGTGTGAGTGTCTTGCTGTGTAAGTGTCTTGTCTGTGTAAGTGAGTCGTCTTGTCTGTGTAAGTGAGTCGTCTTGTCTGTGTAAGTGACTTGTCTGTGTAAGTGAGTCGTCTTGTCTGTGTAAGTGACTTGTCTGTGTAAGTGACTTGTCTGTGTAAGTGACTTGTGTGTGTGAGTGAGTCGTCTTGTCTGTGTAAGTGACTTGTCTGTGTAAGTGACTTGTGTGTGTAAGTGACTTGTGTGTGTAAGTGACTTGTGTGTGTGAGTGAGTCGTCTTGTCTGTGTAAGTGACTTGTCTGTGTAAGTGACTTGTGTGTGTAAGTGACTTGTCTGTGTAAGTGACTTGTGTGTGTGAGTGAGTCGTCTTGTCTGTGTAAGTGACTTGTCTGTGTAAGTGACTTGTGTGTGTAAGTGACTTGTGTGTGTAAGTGACTTGTGTGTGTGAGTGAGTCGTCTTGTCCTGCATCTCGTAGCGCCTCCCGCACGGAAGTCGTGGCCATGGCGGCTTCGCGCTCCGCGGCGTTGGACGCGGACCTCCTGAGGCAGCTCCCCAGAGACGAACTCGTTCACCTGCTAGAGCTGGTGAGGGGTGAGGGGTGAGGTGAGGGGTTCACCTGCTAGAGCTGGTGAGGGTGAGGGGTGAGGGTGAGGGGTGAGGTGAGGGGTTCACCTAGAGCTGGCGAGGGGTTCACCTGCTGTAGCTGGTGAGGGGTGAGGTGAGGGGTTCACCTGCTAGAGCTGGTGAGGGGTGAGGGGTTCACCTGCTAGAGCTGGTGAGGGTGAGGGGTGAGGGTGAGGGGTGAGGTGAGGGGTTCACCTCCTAGAGCTGGTGAGGGTGAGGGGTGAGGTGAGGGGTTCACCTGCTGGAGCTGGTGAGGGGTGAGGTGAGGGGTTCACCTGCTAGAGCTGGTGAGGGGTGAGGGGTTCACCTGCTAGAGCTGGTGAGGGTGAGGGGTGAGGGTGAGGGGTGAGGTGAGGGGTTCACCTAGAGCTGGTGAGGTGTTCACCTAGAGCTGGTGAGGGGTGAGGGGTTCACCTGCTAGAGCTGGTGAGGGTGAGGGGTGAGGTGAGAGGTTCACCTGCTAGTGAGGGGTTCACCTAGAGCTGGTGAGGGGTGAGGTGTTCACCTCCTAGAGCTGGTGAGGGGTTCACCTAGAGCTGGTGAGGGGTGAGGGGTTCACCTGCTAGAGCTGGTGAGGTTGAGGGGTGAGGTGTTCACCTCCTAGAGCTGGTGAGGGTGAGGGGTGATGTGTTCACCTCCTAGAGCTGGTGAGGGTGAGGGGTGAGGTGTTCACCTCCTAGAGCTGGCAAAAGGGTGAGGGGTTCACCTGCTCGATCTGGTGTGGGGTGAGGGGTCCACCTGCTGGGCAGGGTGAGGGTGCATCTCCTCGAGCTGGTGAGGGTGGGTTGGTGGCCGGTGAGCGGTTCACTCTGGGCCACCCTCTGGGTGACATGGAGGGGGGTAGAGAATACTCCCCATTCATGAACACGTGTTCCTTACTGACTGTGATCGAATTTAATTCGCTTTAAAACTCTGCAGAGGCGTGTCAATTGTCTGTTGTTATCTCTTTTATCATCTTTACGAAAACATGCGTTACCCAAATAATCTACAAACATTGGAACAAAACGTAATTATCATAAATACTCCCATTATTTCCACCTCCCTCCGTTCTCCCGAATGTCACATAATTTAACTTTCTAATGTGCATAACATTGAAACATTGATTCCCCAGGTTCTCTGTGATGCATGCATTGCTACGAGCCTTGAGAATCGATGTTGGAAGATGTCGTGGCATCCGTCACTGTCCTAGCCACGAAAGTTGCCATGTGACTTTAAACGTTGACCCAACGTTCAATGTTTCTCGGATCCCTCCCCTCTCAGTATTAAATCCGAGAGAGAGAGATCGCCCATGAGGCGTGGAATACAATGTGATCTCACTTGTACACGTGGACATTAGAATACAAAGTGTCTCAAAAGATGGGCCTGCAAACGTGTTGCATGTTTTCGTTGTCAGATTTATTTCAATGCCCCTCTTTCCCGATGTTTGATTTTCCAAGACGATAAATATTTAGATTTTTACGTGTTTTTTTCCTTTTATTTCAGCTTCCTGGAAGAAAAGATTTGTTCATCGAACAGGATTTGATGAGCCCTCTCGACAGGATTACCGGGTTGTCTGTCCTCAAGGTTCGTGAGCTTTCATTAATTTGTTAACACGTAGGCTTTCGCGACCAATGTTATGATTAATATTTCAATGTTTTTTTTCCACCGGAAACTGCCTGATAATGCTGGTTGTGACTACCAGTGAAACGTCCGCCCCTAGTGATTACATTTTGTGCATAGCTCTCAACACACCGGTGTGCCGAAGCAGTCATAAATCAGCGTGTTTGTAAACATGACAACCTTATTGATTGTCTGTGTCTTTTCTTAAGGAAGCGACAAGAAGTGCCTAAATGACATGCAGCATTTGAAGGCATCTTCATAGGTTAACATTTTTACCAATATCAATGCGCCTGGAAAAAGAAAATTTAAATCGGTACATGATCAGAAAGATTGACACGGACAAAGAAATCGATTCTGGATCACAGCTCGCAATACTGTGATGGATAGACAGTGTCTGCATGGGGAGACCTGATCCAGGGGTGAACGATAGATTAGGGCTGCAAATGATGATATTTTATTAAATTAGTTTAAAGGATGGCACGGTGGCACAATTGTAACCGTTGTGTCTCACAGGAAATAGACCCTGTCCATAATAGAGTTTTATTTGGGTGAGATCGCGTGAATATAAATGTGTCGTTAAACCCGCTACTGCCTAACACAGCCAAGTAGTAAGGTTTGTCACTAAACAATACATGTCAATTCGTTACGAGTTCAGCACACCGTGTTGTTGGAGAGTAAACCCATAATATTTACAATTCAAGTACGACGTTTCGCCGGTAATTATACAACGGCATGGGTTTCCTCCGGGTTTCCTGCCAAAGCACAAAAAAACGATAACTGATATCAAAATAGAACATGTAAATCACTTAATTGGGATTACACAAGCAGCAACATGCAGGAACCTGGCAGGACCCTCCTGGAAAAGAGTTGAGGCTCAGAGGCCTTCATGGGTAAACAAGCGTAACACACAAAAAATTGGAGTAGACATTGAACCAAATATAACATTCTTTAATCGCTTATTTGAAAGGTTACATTATTTTAAGATATATTGGACTCTGCTTGTAATATATAGGATGCGTAAACGTCTGTCCGTCACACTGCATCTCGGACACGGTTCGCCGTACAACGTAACACGTACAAACATAAAAGTTGCTTTTAGTGAAGACACACCTGCAGAATTGTCGCCTATCCCAATGAACATTGTCTAAGAAATTGAGAAAAATAACATCCAGCACAAACCAGTGGAAGCCAGATTCTTCCAGGAGAGAAAAACTCGTGTTGCATTGGTAGAATAGTCCACAAGTTCTGTTCCCCATTGATCTCTATTTAAACCCACTCCGCATGACATCATCGTCTCTTGAGCCACGCTTATGGCTTCACCAAGGGGGACGTCACCATCTAGGGCTGAATCGCACCATGATTACATCATCGCACTTAATGCCTTGTCCCTATGGAAAGCACGTGCGTGGGCAAAGGCATGGTGAAGTGATATTTTGTGCAAATGCGCAGGTGGTGCTAGTGCATGCAATATTTTAGACCCATATCAAATAGACTTTGTACATGTTATAACAAAAACCTCACTTATTAGATAGCCTCGTGTGTTATAGTCCAAAACTATGGACGTGTAACCATTGCAAATCCCAGAATGCTTTGTGCAAGTCTGGGTGGTGTGATATTCAAGTTTCAAGCTTGTGATATTAAATTGACGTGTTACATCGCTTGTTTGTATGTGCGTTCTTCTAGAAACATGAAGTGGACAAAATCTACAAGATGGATGGGAAGCACGTATCGGGCGGGTGTGATCAGTGAGTATTTGTATTTATACACTTTGTGAGTATTTGTACGGTGTTACGAGAGGCAATCAATGAAGTCAACCTCATGCCCAGCCAACAGACACTGACCCCAGCTGCCTCCACTCCCATCAAGATCCGTGAACTATTGAATCTTGGTGGTTTCATTTGTACCATTAAGTACGGAATAGGCTGCTGGTAACCTCTTGGCTTTTAGTGATGGAACATTAACAGTGGTTTAACAAGTAGGCTTTCGCGACCAATATCATTCATAATAGTTTTTTTTCGGGTTAGAACGCGTAAATTTAGATCGCGTAAATTTACGTCATCTGACCCAAAAAAACTATATTATGGATTAACAGTGGTCTTCTAATGGAGCAATAGGTCTCCACTATGGAAATGTGGAATTATCCATCACTGACTCAAGGCCCACCAATCGAGATCAGTGACTCTACTGCTTGTTTTGTCCCCGCAGATATTTTTTACTTTAAAACGTGACTTCTTAATAGGGAATTTTTATTCTGGGTGTGTTTTACGACATAAATATGAGGGCATTGCCTTGAACACATCAAACTGGGTGTTTTTGAGCTTGGATATTGTGAGCGTCCTTTGCAGTGGTGCTTTGGCAAAATATGTCGTGTATGTGTGGTTAAGAATCTTGATTTGAAGCTTTCGTGACTGCAGGAATCCATACTTTTTGGTTTTTTCGGTAAAGTCACTAGGTATAAAATAAAATAAATCACTGACGGACGCTTGTGTTGTGCCCGAAACGTCGTGATTTATTTTATCCTATACCTACGTGACTTTACCGAAAGAACCAAAGAGTGTGGTTAATAATGTTTAAATAATGCCTTTACCACCATAGACTGTCGCCTACTTTTGGCGCGGTCCAGCGGTAGTGCATTCGCCATTTATTAATTGCAAAGGTTCACGGCGGTTCGAATCCAGCAGGCCGCCCTGGTTAATACCGCAGGTATTTTTATTGTAAAATATGCACCATCCGCTCTGCAGTGTTCACAGCGGACGTTATAGAGATCCCGCGATGACGTTCGAAAAGAAAAGGCCATTGGGCCCCCAGTGTCATGCTCCGAATTAGAAAAATTCCCTGTAAATTACTCAGTTGGGATTACGCGTAGCAACGTAGACCCTGACTGTAAAACTACTGCAGACTGTGGGAAACATAGCGCTTTCTTTCATGATAGCCCTGCGCTCTAAAAATGGTAAAAATCCAAAATCGACTGTATTATCATTTTTACTTCAAGAGTGAATCTATTTACGAACAACAGTAGTCCTTGCACCTAAGCTGCCATCACTTGTGCCCAGTCATATGTGTCCATAATTTAATTTCTCTTTAAATTCACTCCGGAGTGCACGAAATAAAATAGATGTTCAATCACTTGTTTGTTATGTCCCGTCTATGTGTTTTTAGGCGGTGCTTCTTGATAAGACCTCGAGAAATTACTGTGAAGAGTGTTGCTGGTCAGTTTTACCCGACTATCCCCATCCACTTTCCAACATATCCGTTGCTCTCATAATTACTGCATACCCATGTTATAAACAATTGCTTCTTGGTACTCTTTCACTGCATTTCAAATGTCCTCTTTACCCAAAATTCCCTTCTCGTAAAATTTTCCTATCAGCTGATTGTGTCCGAAGAAAAAGCATATATACCAAAACGTGATACAATTCCGATTTTTTAAAACGCTTCTTCCTACTCCACGTTTTTTTATTCAGTCACGTGCATCCTTCGTGTCAGATATCATTAATGTGAGTCCCACCTCGCCTCCCACCGACTCACAACTGCTCTTTCTCTTCTAGTAATTCATTCTCGTGGTCTTATACAAATAATATTATGCCTTTCGAGGCTTGTTTCTTGACGTGCAAAAGTTTGTAAAAGTGGGTCACAAATCTAACCGTTGTACTGCGAGCTCCTGGCTAGCGTAGACAGATCTGTATTATCCGTTAGGTGGCTAAAATGCATGTGCCAGTATGCCCCGCCAGTATGAATCATTTGATAACACTCATTATGTTAAGGTCTCAAAAATGCTAGGATCGAAATTATATTATAAGAGGACATTTTCAGTGATCTGAGACCAGTCTGTTCTTTTCGTATAAATGTCCCCATCCTCCGCCTTTATCACAGATAATTAATTAGTAATTATGCTGGGTGGTGATGATCCACCCCTACAATCCAGCACTGTGGATGCGAGGGTTGGTGGATCGCACAAATGTTGTGAAACTCCCTTCCAGTGGGTGTCAAGGTACCATACCCTGGCTTGCCACGAGAAGGCTTTACAGCAAATATGGACTTCATCTGTATGGGATAGAGCAGTGGTTCTCAACCTTTTTTGCCGACTGTACCCACCTTGTTTGAATTTTGTTTCAACCGAGTACCCCCTTGCCTGACCCAGCATGGTTCCGAGATATAAATGTATGAATAATGAACATCAATATTTTAACCAATTGTCCCTTTTGTGAGGTTTCCTAACTAGCTGCTAGTAACTGCAAGCGAATCAATACAAATTCAACGGATGCTCTGCATGAACTCTTTACCATGTGGATTTACATTTTATCATAGTTATTTTATATTGTCAGATTCATAGGACAGGATTATTCACCAATGACTCTCATGTATGATATAATGTCACACATAAATCACCTCTCGTACCCCCTGGGATATTGCCACGTACCCCCACGGGGCCACGTACCCCCGGTTGAGAACCACTGGGATAAAGTGTTACCCCCTCGGTTTCTCTCCCGCATGTATAAACACACATGTATTGGCTGAAAACATCTTAATATGTAGAGGACCACAGAGAATGGGCAATTGTTGGCGACGGCTCACCAGCCTGGCTGCCTTCTTGCTCCTCTGTGGTTTATCGTGCCTCTGAGTTGTTCTCTCTGAGAGTGAGCGAATACCACTTTGCCAGCCCAAGATGAAATTATTATGAATTGCCGTAGTGGAAAAACGTCAAGTTTATCTTTCAACAAAATGAATTTGAGAATCTTCAATTAGTCAATGGATACACACATAGCATGGACTCCCCCCCAGCCTATGAGCATTATGAGATGTTTGCACCGGACCCTCCTCCGCCATCTTCTTACCTACAACAAGAACCAACCTAGAGCTCTGTGGCCCAATGCCAGGGTCAACAGAGGCAAACGTAAAATGTAATTAGAATTATAAGGGAGTTTAACGAGCAGTGAGCTTTCGCGACCAATATGATTCATCATAAAGGTTTTTTGGGTTAGATCGCGTAAGTATGAATGTGTCGTAACCCTCCACCACCCGTCATGGCCAATCAGTAAGGGATTTGTCACGTAAAACAAAACGGCAAATAGTTACTACTTCTGAGTACTCGGATTGTAAATGTTCTGGATTCACTCTCCAACACACCGGTGGGCTGAAGTAGTTACTATTTGGCGTTTGGTTTACGTGACAAATCCCTTACTCATTGGTCGTGTCAGGTGGTGGAGGGTTACGACACATTTATACTTATGCAATCTAACCTAAAAACCTTTTGATTTAAAGCTTTCGTGACTGCGCAGGGATTCATATTCTTGGTTCATTCGGTAAAGTCACATAGAAGGGAAACAATAAAATAATAAAAATAATAAAATATAAAACAATAAAATTCTCACGACGTTTCGACTGCAACACAAGCAATCATCATCAGGTGTGAAATCCACAGAAAGATAATTTGAAAAAAGTGGCAGTTTTTTCTTACCGTCAGCTCCACGGACAGCGATTTTGGCAGTTGTTCAGATGGACGAGTCCATCTGTGTTCGGAAAAGAGGAGGGGGGAGAGGAAGAGAATGGAATGCGGTCTGAAAGTCACCGTAAGCGTGAATACAATCAATTAAGACCCGAAATGGTTTATCACATCCTTCCAATGATTTCTAAGCCAGAATCCATCTTCTCGGTTGAAATTGTCTCTGTGTTTGTATATGTGGATAGCCTCATGAACGAATCTCTCATGGTACCTTTATTATGAGTTTTAAGGGAACTGTTTTTAAAATTACAAACTTAAATACCGGTAAAGTGTTTAAAAAGGCTCGGGTATATTTGTGAATTGCATTTGCTATTTATTTTCACACACAGATTCAATAAATGCAGACAAAGCTGCTGGTGTCACGAGGAAGTACAAGATCATTTTTACTCCGCGAAAGGCGAGGAGGAAAATTTGTGAATTTTTTGTGTTGATCGTCGTTTTTTGTGCATTACTTTCAAATTTTCTTGATTTTGTTTCCCGCTGAGATACACAGGAAGTGCAAGGCGAGAGCAGCTTTGTTCCTGGGTTACAATGCCCCGGTACAGATTGAGTTTCTCCGTAGCTTTAGCCGCATATTTTCAGATTTTTCTACATCACACGCTTTCTCACTCGCTGTTCCGTGCATCATAGAATCAGTATCACTATTTATACTGGAGGAATCCGATGATCTATAAAGCTCTTTTTCACAGATGTCCAGTAGGGGTGTGTAAGAACGTTACAATCACAAACAATACAAAAACACTTTAGTAGTGGAAAGTACAAGAAAGGTAAACAAATCATCCAAAAACATACAAATGAAACTAAACCATCCCCATCCTACCAGGCAGAGGCCCACTGAGGTATTAACTTATTTTTCAGAAGTGACAAATGATAGCTCAACAAAGTGGCTTATCACGTGGAAATTTATAGCAGCAAAATTATCTAAATAATCTCAATGCAAGTTTCTAAATGTGGTGGGAAAAACCGGAGGACCTGGAGAAAAATCTACATGACCACGGGGAGAGAGACACGCAGACTCAAAATATAGACTGGATGCTTCCAGCCATTCTCCATGCTTTGTGTGTGTGTGTGCACTCAAAATTTCACCTCAACGCAAAACCACCGTCTGCATTCCTCTTCCCGCACCACCCCACTCACTCCAGACACTGAATCATCAGCCCGACACTCGCCCATAAACACCGTCACTTGAACATTCACGATTCGCCATCTAGGTGTCCGTATGACTGCCGTCCTCAACGAGTGGACGGCTAGATGCGTGCGGCAATGTGTGTGCAAACATGTGCGTGAGCGTGTTGGGTATAATGTGTTACATTATCATGCTAAAAAACATGCACAAAAACACATGAATGGTAAATAAATCGTTCTTACAGTCGATTCATTAACACCACAGCACCTTCCAACGGATGCAGCACTCTCACCTCTCGCAAGCCTATTTAACAACTATCTTAGCAACATCGAACCACGTATCGCCAAAAAATCACCACCTTAATTCTAGATTTGAAGTTTTCGTGACTGCAAGGGTCCATTCTCTTTGGTTTATTCGGTAAGTCACGTAGGTAAATATAAAATAAAAATAAATTAAATCACGACGTCACAGCAAAATTACTTATCTTGCTGTGATGGTGCCACCTGAAGACGGAAGCTTGTGTTGCCTCCGAAATGTCGTGATTTAATTTATTTTTCTTTATTTTTACCTACGTGACTTTACCGAAAAAACCAAACGGTAATCACCCACTTGTTCCGGAAAAAAACAGACCTCATGACCTAAACCATATATATTGAGAGTATTTGGCTGCTAGAAATTTCCACGTGATTAGCCACTTCGTTGCACGGTGAGCCTCGTACGGTGCGAAAGAAGTTCAGCATTCATACATTGGTGGCCAGGTCGCTTCTTAAAAAGAGCTGTATAGCTCCGTGGGCCTTACCTGGTAAAATAAAAAAAAAAATTACATAGCCAAAATGCGCGTTCCATAAAATAGCTTTCAGCGAGGTTTTCCTGTACTCTGTTATTTTTCACGTGTGTTCTTATGACTTTTATTGAAAGCTTTGCTATACTGCACAGTGCTCTGACACCTCTTGGTGCTCTGTTGCGTTTTACAGCTTCTTTAAAAATTACAATTAATACGTCGTTTTGAAAGCTAACTTTTTTTTATCAAACAGAATTGTATACGACTGAAAGTATTAATGTGCTTTTGTGTGATTTAACTGGCAGCTGTATTCCTGTGAGACTGTACTGGAGATGGAGGGTGTTTTTGGAGGTAAGTGCAGTGCTAATCTCTGCAAGGCTTTGCCTCCACAATGCTATCTACATAAGCCAACTTACCAATATATAAATACTTTATAAGTGCAACATAAAATACATTTCTTTAGCTTAATAATGCTATCTGCAAATAGTGATACTTGGGAAAAGTTGATTGGCTTTGGCACATTTTTGCAGAAGTATATTTTTTGAACTTGATACATCCTGGCAGGGCCATTACTCTAGCCCAGTGGTCGCCAGCCTGCGGCTCCGGTGCCGCGTGCAGTGGTTCTCGTTGGCTGCCCCTTTGCAGGCAGCCGATTAAACTTACATTTTAAACACAATTTAACGCAAAGATAATCAGAAATGTATTACATATCACAGGGAATGGGGTCACTATCGAATGTCTTGGTCCTAACAAAATGTACAACAGTCAAATTGTTCTGTTAAAGAATAACTAAGGGGGAGGGAAACTAAATAGGCGCAGTTTACTCCAACACCTGTTTTGTTGAACTAAGTCAGAATTTGTCACCTGCTGTATATCCGCTGCCGTGTTTGCCTAAAGGGAACTCTGTGCGTGATGCGGCTTTCCAACTATTTTGGTCAGACAAAATAAAATGGCTCTTCGTCTTTAAAAGGTCGCCGACCTGCTCTGGCCAATAATGTGGCTCCACTGCTCGGGCAGTGCTGCCTCTGGGCGTGCAGCAGAGCCGTCGTTGGCAAGATTCCCATTTAGATTTTCACTCGTGGCCACTGTGAGAGCAGAAGGAAACCTGCACGAGACTGTGGCGTGTTGCCGGGTGGTGGTGGCTGTGCACGTAGCCTGTAGTCCAGCACTGGTGGAGGCAGCGAGGGTTAGCGGATCGCACAAATGCTGCAAAACTCCCTTACTGTGGGCGTTGAGGTGTCATACCCTGGCTTGTCAGGAGTCCACCTGTTCTGTCTGTTTGGGGTTGAGTGTTTCCCCCCCTCGCCGCACATCTGGATTTTCTCCCAAGTGCTCCGGTTTCCTCTCACATGTAAGCACTCGTGAATTGACCAATAGCACCTCTATATAGAGGGCTGCAGAGCCTGGGCAATTGTTGGCGCTGGCTCATCGCGTGGCTGGCTTCCTGCTTGTCTGTGGTTTCCTCCTCACGCCTCTGAGTCATTCTCTCTCTCTGTGAGAGTGAGCCAACACTGTGCAGCACGTTACAAGTCGATAGCCATCCTATTAATTTGCGTAGAAAGGCACAGTCGCATGTATTGTGCATTTCACCTGAATGTTGTAAGCACGCAAGGTGGACAAAACCATATACGTCCTTGTGGGGTTTTTTTCCTGCGTCAGATGTTTCCTGCGAACAGTGGGAATTCGACCTCTTGCCACTGGATAATGACGTCATCACCCTGGAGTTACCGGACTTCTTTCAGGACTTCTTCATGGTAGATGATTGCAACTCATCCCCACCTCCCTCTGTCTGAAACAAGGCCGATTGGCAAAGTTTTTTACTCAAAATACATCCCAATGTTTTCATTTAAGCCTCCCTCCCCAACCTGACTTCCCACACTGGCTTTTTGTCCGCCTGCCCTTTAAATGTTGAGCCACCAAATCGGTGGTGACGCTCAATTCTTGTTGTTGACATTTTTGTTCGTGATGTCGCGTTGTCGTTTTGCTGCAGGATGGCAACCAGAGCATGCTCTTTACCGTGGCAAAATCTATCCAAAAGCTACAGTCGCTCTTCGGTCCGGTGCGCAACGTGTATGGGATTGGCAGAGGTGCAAAGGTACGTGTTGGCACGTGGATAAGTCACGTCGATTTTAAAATGTCTAATTAAGGTTTAATATGCGTATCTTCTAGTGATTGCTTAAATACTGAAAGTTAACTTCTGCCAGGTATTTTGCTTTGGAAAAAAAAATCCTGTACAATGATGTTTTTTTCATCTCTTGACTTTGTGCCCTTTTATTTGTGAAGATGGTCTATGAGTTGATGGAGCTTCTGTCAAACGAAGCGAATGTCAGAAGATCGAGCACCACAAACAGTGAAATGGGCGACCTCTTCCTCATTGACAGAGGTAGGATGCTTCAGCGGCACCCCCCGTGCTGATTCCATCCTCTAAGCCACTGTTCTCGACCCTGTTCAGTTAAAGCTCAAGAGGGATGCAACCCGTAGAGCTGTGGTTCCACATTTAAGGAGTATTAGTTCTTGAAAATGCGGCAGCTGTAATCTTGTGGGTTTTTGTATTTATAGGAAACATTAACCTCTAAATGCTATCTCCCTGCTGGAGGTATAGGTTTGTAAATTTTACCAGCAAACTGAGATCCACAGACTTAACATAACATGACTAACGATGCGTGTCATAAGCCATGGATAAGGCACTGTATTGGGAGCCTACCTTGTGAATGGAGGTGAGTGGACTGCAGTGTGGCCGTGGGTGAGTGTCGAGGCTGCCCGGAGGTTTTAATGCTCAGCCGCTTGATGCATCAAACACTTACGAACGAGTCAGGGGTGGCGAGGATGGGAGGAGGCAAATGTGGTATCTCGGACATTCACTGAGAAGCTTCATCCCTCCTACCCGCCCCACCTCTCACAAGTACAGTTGATTCTCCTCCAACGCGTGTTTTCATAACAAGAATTGGCTATAACGCGATAAACGTATGAGGGAATACATTTTATATAACGCGGATGTGAATTGCACATAACGCGATCGAGTGGACAGAGCTACGTCGCGCAAGTAGTAATAAGCGGTTGTACAGCTGCCTCGGCGGAGCATCGCACACGGCAGTGGGATGCTGCTGGATGCTTCTAGATGCTACCCACGTGCCTCGGTCTTTGTTCAGCCTTCGTACGCATCTCTCGTGTTATCGCGGACTGTGCTTTACCCCTCTATATTATATATGATTTATTATCACGTGATGTTTCCATCATGTGATGTTCTTCTGGAACGCAACTACCGCGTTATAGGAGAGCAGACTTTCTCTGTAGTACGTTACTCTCTCTCGGGCACGCAAGGCAGGCATGTCCCGATGCTGGCACTAGAGGGCGCTATCAGTCTTGTTCTTTTACTCACTCAAGCAATGGTTTTGTTTGCACGAATGAACCTTCAAACTCTGCTGACGACGTAGTTTTTGCCTACGTAGCATTTGCAAGCCGGGGGTTATAATTCAAACATGCGAGCAGGCGCGAGGTAAAATGTGGCCCATGAACAAATTTATTTGAAGAAAAATGCCTGAAGTTTGACAGAGGTTGTATGTAGGTACGTTGAACTTTTGCACCGTACGTAGCCAACCACACTAATCGGAGGTGCGAGAAAATGTCAAAGTAGGTGTTCATTTCTAAGCCATACTGAAGACAAAATTGATCATGAAAGGTAAAGAGGAAGACCAAGAGGATCTGTGGCGTCAACAACCTCAAAGAATGGTCTCCAGAGCGTGATTGCCATTGAGTCGCATCATAACGGAGTCCGCGATGATGATGGTGATTCATCGCTGTCAACCCATACGGTTTATTCGTATCTTGTACAGGGAAATTGGATTTTCAGGTCCATACGGCATACAGCCGTTTCAATACGGGCAAAAATGTTTTTTGTCTATTTGTGTGTGTTTCTCTCTTGTGATGGGACTTTGTAGGATGAACGTTGAGATTTATAAGGGTACGGGGTGACCAATAAGGTCTGAATTGGTCTGTGATATGATAGACACTGTTAGGAGGTTGACAGATATGGTGATGAAGGAAGGTGTTGTTTGGAATGAGATGACTTGGGTTCTCAGATGCGAATCGTGTAACCGTCGTGTATTTGTGTGCACATGCAATGCCTTTTCAGATGTGGACTTAATAACTCCGTTGTGCTCTCAAGTGACATTTGAGGGACTGCTGGATGACATATTTGGAATAAAATGTGGTAAGTGCTAGAGAATAGAATTTGGTGTTTCAAGCATGCCATATGTGCAACCAGAATAAAGCTCAAAGCACATCTCAAAGGATCTGTTCCATAACTGCAGGACATGGGCATCCTAAGAAAAGGAGGCAAGTTTTGCTAAGAGAGAAAGAGGGAGTCGGGTCAGAGGAGAAAAGGGCGGTCTTGAATCTGGAGGCAGAGTATCAACAGCAAGAGCCCACTTGGGGGAAGGAATTCCAGACGAGCAGGAGGGGAAACAGTAACATCCTCCAGAGTGAGGGTTGACTTGGGGCTCCCATAGAAGGCTTTGGCTCCTGGAGGGGAAAATGTGTGGAGGGAAGAGAGGGGAGGAGTCGTGGAGAGTGTGTGGAGGGGGAGTAGAGTGAGAAGAGAGGGGAAGAGGTAGGCAGGGGTGAGTCCATGGGGGATGTTGAAAATAGTGCGATCTTGAAATGGATCCGGAATTAGATTGGGAGTCAGTGAAGGGATCGTCGGAGCATGGTGGGTGCTGCACTTGTGTTTTTGGGGTCTCGGCGAGAAGTCGTGCAGCAGCATTTGGGATCTAGGAAATGTTTTGCCTTCCTGAGGACACTTAATAGGTTTTTCAGAAAAACCACGAGACCCGTTTAAACCAATTATCACAAAACCTGGCACAGCCTACAAATACCATTGTGGTGAAAGGTTATGTTGCACCGCATAGCGCCGCGCTTGGAGTACGTGCACTGGCATTCCAGCTTTTGTTCGTGGCGCAACAGATGAGATGCCTGTCGAGTTGGAAATATAACAGCATCATCGTTCATGCAAATTGCATCTCACAATCGTCGAGGAATCCATAGACGAGCGGGAAGGCAGCAGCAGCAGCCAAGCGGTGAGCCGGCGCCGCCAGCAATTGCCCACGCTCTGCAGCAGTCCTCTGTGTATATGAAGAAGTTTTCAGCCACTTAACGAGTGTTTATACGTGTTTGTATGAAGAGCGGCGCTTCGAATCCGGCGACTCGAGTTTGATTCCTGATAACTCCAGTAACGATTATCTAAACTGGTCATGGGCCTCCCCTAGTTCGAATCAGTCTCAAATGAGTACCCGGTGCGGTGCGTCAACATCGCTACATGGGAGACAGAGATGGCCGGGCGTGGTGTTGGCCACCCACCCCCCTTGTATGGCGTGCCGGCCTTCATAAGTGCTCGCTAACAGCACTTGCCCCAGCAGTCTGTTAAGGCTGTACGGGTAATATTTGTCTTTGGGGCGCGGTAGTGCAATGGTTAGTGCGCTGCGCCACGAAGCCAGAGATCCGAGTTCAATTCCCGCTCACGGCCAACAGCAGTTACGTTTATCTAAACCTCCCCTGTTTCGACTCAAATGAGTACCTGGTGCAATGTGTAAACATCGCAATTGGGGAGACAAAGGCGGCCGGGCATGGTGCTGGTCACCCACCCCTTCGTGTGTCGTGCTGGTCTTCATAGGTGCTCGCTAACAGAACCTGCCCCAACAGTCTGTTAAGCTGATACGGAAGATTTTTGTCTTTGTGTCTTTGCTGTTTTGTGCCGTATGCTGGGAAAGGAAATGCCACTTTGTTATGGCTTAATGGCACAAAAAACAATTGGGTAAAATTTCTCATTGGGTCTAATGCACATTTATTTGAAAAGTGCCACACTTGTTTCAATGTTTGCAAGAAGAATATAATATTCTAGTTGCAATTGCACATATTCATACACATTTTGACTGCATTGTACTGTGTGCATACGTGTTAAAGAATGGTGTAGTTACTTCCTTACATATGCTGGAGTGTTTTCATTCTGCAGTTAGTAGGCTGATTGACGGCTTGATGAAGTACATTTAAAGCTATGTCCATTCTTACATTTTTGTTTTTAAAATATCATTTGGAATTTGTTCGAATTGGCACGGAGTTGTAATGCGGGTGGTGTATTTGTAGGCAGTGTTGAGTTTGGTCCAGAAGTCACTGGAACAGAAAAGAAATTGAAAATTCTCCTGAATTCTCAAGACAAGGTATGAACAAGCTACAATATGCACATTTACAATGATATACAACTGTATATACAACTACGCATACAACTACGCTTAAAACTAATACTTATAACTATATTTGCAACTATATATCTCACCACTTGTACAAATATGTAAAAAAACAATCACCGATGGAGAATATTCAATTCAGAATTATGGCATTTGCTTTTTTTAGGTTTAATGTTGTACAAACAACTTGCACGCATTTGATTGTAAGAAGCTCATGACATTATTGTATTTTCACATTGCAAGCTACCTTCTCTTGCCTTATTTTCCAAAAAGATACAGATTAGTATTGAAATCTTAACATTTATAATTCTAAATATTTGTACAGGTTTTCAGGGAAATTCGCAATCAACACTTTTCTAATGTGTTCGGATTGCTCAGCTCCAAAGCGAAAGTCCTTCAAACCAACTACGATGTAAGTTACAGCGGGGATGAATGTCCATGCACGTTTAATATTTTTTGTAAATTGTGGAAAGCTTTATCTTACTCAGAGCATTCAAATACAGAACTCTATGCTATGCGCAACGTCTGCACCGTCGCAGGACGTCCATTAAATAGACCCTAGCAGCTCATTTGGGCCCTCGCTGTTGAAGTAAATAAAATCTCATCTAAAAAAATTGCATTTCACTTTATCTTGGGGGATAGGACATCATTGCTCGAACATGTTCATGTAAAACATTTTAAAAAATGACATCATTGCTGCACTCAAGTGTCCCCAGACAGTATGAGAATCATTGATAAGATTTTAGGTTTTAAAACATGTTGCTTCAACCCTTCTCAATTATACATATTATTGTAATTGCACATTTTTAAACGTATGTAAGAGATAGTTGTTGTGATAGCGAGATAAGTCGAGACATATCTAAGTTTGTGCTCTCCAGTTGCCCTGGGTAGAAAGTGGTGGTGCAGTGTCCTTGCCAAGTCCTGGACAGCTAACTCAAAAACTCAATAAAGAAATATTCTTTTACAATATGTAAGGTGTATGCATATTCATATAAAATTTTCTCACGTGTGTTGACATTGAACGTGTTAATTTCCTACCCCGTTTAAACGTCAATTGAAAATGAGTGACGTAGAGGATGAGATCCACTTTTGCTCTTTCAGAAACGGCACGACATGAATATCCAGAACATGAAGGAGTTTGTGGCCAACGAACTGAGGGCCTTGAAACAGGAACATCGCTCTCTGAGTCTGTGTAAGCCGATGGCGATTTACGTTCAGCGCAGGCACCTGCAGAGTGTGCAACTTGCCCCTTTTGTAGGCTTGTGTTGACGGATCCCCGCTTTGTGAATTGACCGTCCGCTTGTTAATTCGCGTTTCCGCACAATTTGTGACTTTTCATCTTGGATGGATATTCCCTATTGGGCAGACTGGGGAGGTGACCAGTAGACTTCAGCCCCCCCCCAACCCCCACAACTAAAATCCTTTGTGTACAGGGAAGTAGAGGGTGCCCTGGTGGTGAGGTGTTATCTGTCTCGCCTGGTATACTGGAGGTCGTGGGGTTGATCCCATCCCTGATGCCTTTATATGTGGCGTTTGCATGTCTCCCTGTGGATGCGTGGATTTTTTTTCCAGATCCTCCGGTATTTCCCTCGTCATTTAGAATCAACGTGCATTTTCAAGTATTTGGCTAATATAAATTTCCACATGATAAGCCACTTTATTGAGTTATCATTTGTGGCGAGGTCACTTCTGAAAAAATAGCTTTTTAGCTCAGTTTAGTTTAGAAGAGTTAATTTCAATGGCAAAAAACATGCATCATTCACACAATACAATAACAATTAGATAGAGTTAGCAGCTACATACAACCGTATGTCACGACGCCATTCAGAACGGTCTATATGTTTATTTGGTAAAGGATATAAATTCTGTTGCATTGCCAAAATAAAGTGTTCCGTTAGATATGAATTTCGAGAATTGGAGTTTGATTGCTTTCTCCGTTAATCTTCTGTGTTTTGAAGATATCGGCAGCTGTGAAGCCATTATGAAAAGAAAGACAAAATCAGACTTCAAGGAACTGCTCAAGACTGAACATTGTACGTAACGTCTGTGGTGGTTCTTTAGATTACAATGGCTCGATCAGCTCATGAAGCCGATTGGGTGAATATTACATTTGTTTCGTAGATCTTAAGCAAGTGTGTCATTCTGTTTGGAGAAACGTTTGTGCAAACTCTTCTGAGGCTGCTGTTGAATTTTAATGAGGACACGCTCGCTGTTTATCTGAAAAGTGATCCACACAGGATGTGTATGCGTGTCACAAGAAGCAGTTGGTTGAAACTGATCCGAGTGACGCTGCACTTGCTGGGCGGTGGCGGCTGTGCACGTCTGTAATCCAGCAGTGGAGGCGAGGGTTGGTGGATCACACAAATGTTGGAGGAGACCGTAGCTTGGCTCGCCAGGTGAAGGCAATGAAGAAAAGTGCAGACTAATATCATCTGTCCCTCCTGAATAGGCTCGTGTGGCCCCGCCTCTCATGGGTGCGTTTTCGGCGTGCGATACAGTTTCCTCCCACACTTATGAGCGCTCTTTAATTATCTGAAAACATCCTAATATGAGGGTCACCCAGACAGTAATGCCTCACTTTGTTTTCCTCAGCCAAAATGTATTGAAGCAAAGTGAAATATACTCGTACCTAATGATCAGATTTATTGGTTACATGCGCATTACTCTTCCACATAGTATCCCTCCACCTCAATGGCTTTGCGCCATCAAGAAAAGAGTGCGTGCATTCCTCGCCAGTGGGGTATTACTTTCTGGGCGACCTCCTGTATATAGGTGATTGCTGAGCTGAGCTAATTGTTGGCAGCGCCAGCTAATTGTTGGCAGCGCCAGCTCATTGTTGGCAGCGCCAGCTCATGCGCTGGCTGCATTCCAGCTCGTCGTGTGGTTCCTCAAATATTCTGACATCCAATGTTTGCACGAATGACGATGATAGATTCAACCAAATATTAGATACAACTAAACATGAATATTGTTTATGTAACAAGCCATCCGTCATTCTGCCACCTTTCCGTGGGATGATCGTTGCTCTTGCGTAAAATTAGCAGCTGAAACGTTCTCCGTGATTCATTTGCATGTATTCCACCCTTTGTGGAACACATGGGAGCCGTGCCCGCATTCCGCATCGGTAGATTGGTCCACAGTGGATGGAGCTATATTTGAGGTTGGCACGGAGATCAAGGGAGCTTCAGAAATGTCCCTCGTAATTCATGATCTGCATTTCCGCACTTGGAAACATCCCGTGCGCACGATCTATTTATACGCCGTTTAAACGCTTGCTGCCGTGTATTCATTGGGTTGTAAAGTTGATTTTGTTCGTGGCAAAGCAGCATTGCAGTGAGTCAGAAGTAGAAACATTCTAAATTGATGGATATTTCCAGCTGTGACAATGGGATTTGAAACTTGGGACATTGACACAGGAAATGGAACAATATATCAGAAAAGGGTGCACGGAAGCATATGGAGACATGCTCAGAATGAACACTCGGAAACTGCATAGATCGGAGAATAAGCACAAATCTAAGACAATATATTGACCATGAGTGTATGTATGTACATATGTGGAACTTCTTTTGTACCGTACATAGCCAACCGTGTTAATTGGAGGTGCTGTATGTATGTTGAACTTATTTTCACAACGTACATAGCCAACCGTGTTAATTGGAGGTGCGGGAGGACAACTAAACGCACAAAAAAGTGAAGAAGAGTTAGTGGGCTTGGACAGGATATACGTGACGGCTAACGAGCAAAGCCGACGACAGTGATAGCCGAGTGAGAGAGCGCAGCACACGGGACAACGACCGCTGTGTGGGAAGTGAGGTGGACTGTGGCATTACAGGACCGTGAGGAATCGCGATAGTGGTGTGGCGGGGGGGGATCCAGGCAGCAGTGGATAAACAGTGGTTAGTGATGACAGTTAATGTGAGCAGGTAATCATTGACAATGCAGTGTTGTAATTTCTTTGTTGTGTGTGTGTATATCCGCGTGTGTTCAGCTCTTTTGGAAGGAATAGCTATCAGGGAGTGTGTCTCCTCTATCGAAGAGGCCATTAACAGACAGGTGAAACTTTCCGTTGACATAATTGCGAGTTCGTGCTCTGTGCCAATTTAATCGCAATCGGTAAATGTTTGTGCCTTATACGCAGGAGTTTCTGATATTTTTTCAAGTGAAAACACCAAACTCTTCCTGTTGTTATTTGATGCCACTCACTTAGTCTTGTTTAAAAATGAAATGAAACATTTGACTAATTATTTAATTAGCATTTAGGATATATTCATATTGAACGTATGAATGCAACAAAAACGTATAACCCAGAAGCAACTTGGTAGTATTTTTAAACTGAAATGTAGTGTTTCGCAGGTGATTTTTCTCTAACGACTCAAGTAGATGTTTACAAGCGAATGGGATTGTGCCATGTAGTCATAGTAATAATCTATACTATTTATTTATAGAACAGCTTTCATACCACAATGTTAAAAGAAGTTAAGATTACAGAAACTAATCTAAACTTTGTATTTTACCAGGTTAATCCCACTGAGCTATTTAGCTCTTTTTCAGAAGTGACCTGGCCACAAATGATGGCTCAACAAAGTGGCTTATCATTTATTAGAAAGTCAAATGCTGTAAAGCCACTCATAAAATAACAAAAATATCCAGCAAGGGAAAAATGAATTAAATGGTAAAATAATCATAAGATGCCAGAATAAAATCGGGAGGCTAAACTATAGAAATAGGGCTCAAGCCTTGATTTCACAGTAGCCGCCACTGTGTGGGCAAAACCTCTGAAGCGATCCGGCAGAGATCCACAGCCCGTAGTCTGAACACAAAATGCAACATCTCCTGTCCTGCTGAGCCCTGACCCAGAGAATGCAGAGTCGGGGTCATTGCTCTCAGCTGACCGACCTCCATGCACACTGAGGCTAATACGGAGACAGTCATAGTAGTGATAATGCAGTCCATAAAATGCACAATATTCACCAACATAAGGCAAAACCACCTTTTTTAAAAGGGGTGTGCATAAAACATCCCGTACACAACAGGGAATATATGTTGTGTTCATCATCTGTTAACACAGCGCATAGTACAACTCCCATCGCCCATCAAAATACCTAAACATAGCAAACAGAATACACATGCAATCTTACACACAGCATCTGACATCGGTGACGATAATCCTCCAACTGAAAGCACACCTGCACCGGATCTTAACGAATGACATTTTCTGGTGTTTTGGCAGAGTTCAATTTATTACTGTAAAAAAAACCAAGGAGAGTCGTGTGTTTGCCGACGTGATGGACGGTTGACCAACACCGCCTGCGCAACTTTGCGAGTGATCTCCAAGACACCACTTTGCGAGTGATCTCTAAGACACCACTGGGATGTCCCGCACAATAGACCCCATAAATACATTCTGACGACTCCATACTCAGCCGTGTCACGTGTCATGCCTCGCCTGGAAGGTGCGTGGTGGAACGTGTTGTTATTGATAAGCGGAGTGGAGAGTGATTAACAGGCCATTTTTAGTGTCTGGGCCCAATGTGACGTGATATGTCTCACATGATGTTCAGAATTAAGATCAGAACATTACAACAACAAACAATACAAAAACACTATAGGAGTCAAAAGTATAGGAAATGTAAGTCAATCACGAAAAAATATACAAATAAAACTAAACAATTTTTAGTTTACCAGGTAAAGCCCACTCGGCTACAAATAATAGCTCACGAAAACGCCTTATGGGGAAATATATAGCAGCCAAATAATCTAAATAATTTAAATGCATGTTTCTAAATGTTGAGATGCAGACGTATTTTCATGGTTACTAAGCTGCGTTATGCCTGACCCAGCGTGAGGGCAGTGGGTCACGCTGGGACTTGAATTGTGCCTGACCCAGCATGAAAGCAGTGGGACACGCTGACCATGAGCTGCGTTATGCCTGACCCAGCGTGAGGGCAGTGGGTCACGTGGGTGCATCTGTCTCTCTGCAGTCTCCCATTCTGGATGTCCTGCGGCTGCTGTGCCTCCTCTCCGTCACCGAAGGAGGTGCATTCCCTTCACAGACTTGCGCCCTCGCGTGGCAAAAACTTGACCCCTCGGGCTCAGTCGTGCTGCAGTATGACAGAGAATTGGTTGGAAAAAAAATACTCCACATTGTTGAGAAAATATGTGACAAGAGATCACATGAATATTTAATTCAAATGTCTGCCAAAGGCATTGCTTCACAGTACGCAACTGAAGAGATTAGTCCGCATCAGTTTTCTGCTGTAAGTTGCGTGCGTATGCGAGCATGATCCACGCAGGCTTGACAATGAGCTGTGCAGTCCTTGGAGCTCAAATGTGGCCTCGTGTTATTGGGCCCATGAAGCTGCTCACCAATATCGCATTCTGGAGCGTTTTAGATTTGCTGTGATGGTCTCGACTGCATGAGTCCCAGGTCCAAGCATCTTCCTTTACTGATGTTGCTTTCAACGTCACTGTGTTCACTTGAGTCACGGCTGCCTGGTGTGAAGTCTTATCTTCTCTGTCGCTTCTGCGATTCAGTTTACCCACACACCATGGAGGACCTCCCATGCGCAAGTGATATTTGGCCAATTTGGATCTGTCAGATGCCCCATGCTATACCACGTGTGTGGCACGTTCGTAGCTAGTAGATTAGAAGCATGAGAGACTCTACCCTTGCAATGTGGCAGCTTTAAACCACGACCATGCCGCTGTGGTGAGGCTTAAGATTTCGTACCTAATTCTTACATATGAATCCTATCGATCATGGGACCTTTTTTTGCCAGTATCCAAGTATGAAAAGTAAGCGTAGGTTTTACCCTTTCTGGCAATAAAACAGGTGTTAATATATTATTGGTTCTTTCGATAAAGTCACGTAGAAGGGAAATTATAAAATAAAAACAATAAAAGGTGTTAAGATGTTCAAACACCAAATACAAACCTTTTGCAAGAAATACAGTCTGCATTAATCACACGTACTTGTGGTGAACATGCAAACAAACATGCAAACAAACATGCTCTGATAATATTTGCATTGTCTTTGAAACTGATTTGACGACGCCAGAGACAGCCTTTTTTATGGCCTCGTCTCACCAGTGTGAAACCAGAGAACGGCAAAAGCGAACTGTTCAAAGAAGGCGGTCTGGTGTAGGCCAATCAGTTTAAAAAACAATGCATATATGTGTGTTGTTTGCAGGTTAATGCAGACTTGATTCCTTGCAAAATGTATTTATTTGGTGTTTAAACATCTTAACTCCTGTTTTTTTTTTACCAGAAAGGGTGAAACCTATTCTTATTTTTCATACTGCATCCTGTCTGTCTGCGAAATACATAAATGATTGTGATTCCATTGGCCATTAGGTTAGTGGGATTCTTGGATAAGGAGGAGGTGGCTAAGAGGATTTCCCATGGGGGGAGTGTGGGAGTGCGACAGGCATGGCCTCCTTGTCTGTTTACAGCCCTAATGGGGCAACAGACCACACTCGTGCTGCTAAGTCTATATGCTCGGCAACGTGTCGCTGTGTAGTCACGTTATTTTGTGTTAGAATTGCATAATATATAAAAAATATATTATTTCAGGACTCGTCGCCAATGATATGCGCTCCCTGAAAACGCAGTTCTTGCACGTAAGTCCCATCCACTCCATTCTTCACACATCTCGTTGACAAACGGGACACATTCGGTGCACTCAAAACACGTGTGCGTCGACAAACCTGGATAGATGTGTTTGTTCAGTAGAATATATCCGACTTAAACCTTGCAAACGTAAAATTGAGGTACGCCATGAACATGAAGATTGAGTCAAACGAAGACACTCGGCACCAGGGGTGAAGTGGAGCCCCAGTGCCACCAAAACCAGCGTCATCAGCCATGCTACGAGCAACCCCCACACACTCCGCCTAACAACGGAAGTTGGTGGCGTTGGGGGCTGAATTCATGTTCTTCCGTCAAAGCTGTGGGGTGGGCTCAGCTGAGCCGTTATGTAACGCAGATTGTTTTACACGAGTCCCATTTGTACCCACGATATTGTGCAGAAAAAAACCTCCAATGAGGGAGCGGGGGGGCTGGCGGAACTGTTCACGGCCGGTACATGAAGTGCGAGGGGAAACATCCCAGCCACTCTTATTCAGGCTGACGCCGAGGCGACTAGAAACTTCACAGGGGTCGCATGTGCAAGGAGGCGAGCACAACGTGACCTCACTTGCTCCGTTCAACCAACTTGCTTTTTAAAACTACATAGCCACAAATTACACCCTCAGCCCTTGCCTGGATTCTGGCACAGTGAATGGACGCCTACCTGGGCTGGGTCACGAGGCGACCCAGGATAAGGCGTAGCGAGAGGGTGTGGAGCAAAATGGGAAAGTGGGAGACGGATAAGGAGTAGTATAGGCAAAGTTTTGGGGGGGGCACGGCGGGTGGCAAAGCCCCCCCAAACTGGACACCTTCATTAATTTATTTTCAGTAGTTTACAATTAAGATAAAAAATTAATGACTTAAATGCACCCATGATTCCCAATGTTAGGGACAAAGAGAACCCCTACTGCACCAAACTCCGCCAAATGAGCGTCAGTGCCCATGGAGCCTCCTTTTAGTACATAAAGTGATGCCTCTATTAATAACCCTGGACCTCTACTTGTAACCATGGACCTGTACATACTTGTAACCATGGACCTTCAATGGGAGATTGAAGTATTCCTCCGTGTGCTACCTCGGATGTGGTGCAGAGCTACGGGACGGAGCAGCTGTTGACGCTGAACAACCTGAGGAAAGCGGGATTGCTCACAGAGCAGCAGACGCCCGAGACGGTCACAACCATGGAGAGCAAAGTGGGAAAACTTGTGTCGGATAAGGCCATGGGAAAAGCTGTTGGTAAGCAAAATAAATCTATTGTTACTCTACTGCCGTATTTAAGACAGATTGTGGTCGTCATCACTGTGAAGCTGCTCCACCACTCCTGTTCCTGCCCACCACTGTCATAAAAATGTGACATCAAATGTCACATTTATAAGACCGAAACAGGAGGATTTCTCCACAACTATGGCTGTCACCTGATGAGGCTGGTTGTAATTACTGACGAAACGTCGTACTCAAATTCTAAATGTGAGTTTGCTCTCCAACACGCTGGTGTGCTGAACTAGTAACTAATTGGCACTTTTTGTTTATGTAACAAACCTTAGTAATTGACGGTGTCAGGTCCGTGGCGGGCTTAACGACCCACGCAATCTAACCCAAACACCTCTATTATGGATTGTATTAGAATAGACCGGCAGATGTGGTCCATAAGTCTCTTGTTGTACCTATGTGACTTTACCGAAAAAACCTAACAATATCTCTTGTTGTACTTCGTCAGATCATTTTCTAGTGCAGGTGAGGCTGGACTTGGAGGTTTGCGTATTGAAGGGTAATGAGCTTTGGGGTTCATGACTGAGGCTTCTTGTTTTTTCCATCAACAGTCTTAGTTTTCACTGTCTTGTTTGTTTCATATTTGTCTCTTTTGTATCGCTTTGTCTAGTTACTCTGGTCATATAAAAACACTCTTGCAATTGATCAAATGTCATAAAATGGAATCCTCTTAAAAGTGCTGAAACTATCAGCTCATTGGGCCCTTCCTGCTGAAATAAATAAAAGCTATCCGTCTATCCAAAAAATCTAATTAGGGATTTCTTTGGAAAGTGAATTAAAATATATGTATCCAAATTGTATTGTTTTGGTAGTGCACGGACACATACGAACGGGCACACTGCTGCAATAGCTCTACACACATTCCCGTGATTTATATCACTACAAAAGTAAAGACCACCTGTATAACCTACACATGCTGTTGGGGCAAGCACTGTTCGCGAGCACCTGGATTTTTCTCCGGGTCCTCCAGTTTTTCCTTGCCACATTTAGAATCAACGTCACGTGTTTCGAGTATTTGGCTGCTTTACCTTTCCACGTGATAAGCAACTGTTGAGCTGTCATTTGCGGCCAAGTCGCTTCTGAAAAAAGAGCGATATAGCTCAATGGGCCTTACCTAGTCAAATAAAAATAGTTTAGTCTGTAGGTTAGCTTCTTATTATTTCGTATGGATTAACAGCAGATTAAAGATGTAATTTTAGATTTGTTATCCGCTAAATGGTTAGCTGTAAGTGGGACTTGAGAATCAGATTATTTATTATTTGGGTCTTTCGGTAAAGTCACGTAGATAGGTTCAAATTAATAAAAATAAAATAAACAAAAAACTACGACGTTTCAATCACAATCCAAGCGATCGTCATCCCCCCCCCCACCCCTCTTTTCCTCCTGATGACGATCGCTTATGTTGTGTTCGAAACGTCGTAGTTTGTTATTTTATTTGTATTCATTTGAACCTATCTACGTGACTTTACCGAAAGACCCAAAGAATATGAATTCCTACAGTCACGAAAGCTTTAAGTCAAGAATCAGAATCAGTATTTATACTGGAGGAATCCGATGAGCTATAAAGCTATTTTTCACAGATGTCCAGTCGGGACGGGTAATAACGGTAAAACCAAAAAATACAAAAACACGATCGGAATGCAAAGTACAATAAAGGTAAACAAATCACGTAAACACATACAAATGAAACTAACCATCCTCATCCTACTTGACAAAGCCCACCGAGGTATTAACTTATTTTTCAAAAGTGACCTGGCCATGAATGATAGCCCAACAAAGCGGCCAATCATTCGGACATTTATAGCAGCAAAATAATCAAAAGAGTCTAACTTGAACATGGGTGGCCAGGCTCGTAATGCGGTGCTCCAACCACTCGGGTCGATCCGCTCTCGGGAGTCGACTGCCGCCAGCCGTCTCCGGTGAGAGCTCGGCTTGGTCCGTGCCACCCCGAAGAAGCTCTCGCTCGCTTTTTCTCATCTTCGTTTTCCTACAAATGCACGAAATGGGAAAGCAAGCTCATTGTGACTGTCGCTGAATACAATTTCGAGGCGGCTGTTTTTAGGCTCGTTGTGTTTTTTTGCCTTCAGGAAAGCTTACTGATGCCTTCACTGCACTGCAGAGGAAAAGCCACTTCAGAGCATTGAGCAAGAAGCTGAACCTTGTAAGTCAGTCACCTGGTGAGGCAATGTGAAGATCATTGTTTTCTGCATACAACTCAGTTTCTTTTTTGCAGCTCCACGTGCTGGGAGCTTCTTCAGGAACTGATTCAGCTCCCAGCACATGGAGCTAAACGTCGGACTTCGTGCCAAGCAACACGCTGTACAAACTGAACAAAAAATTATTTTTGAGAGCTGTATTTCTCCATATTTGGTAAATGAAATGTAACACATCTGACCATTACGATCATCTCGGTTAGAGCAGCGATTGCATGGTATAGCATTTAGCAAGTTTCCTCTCTGGAATTATTTTACCTTTTTCAAGATTTAGGAGACGCACCACTACCTCATGTCCAGTACCACTACACCCGCAGTACTTTCTTTTTTATTTGCATGCAATTATTAATTCAACGTAGGATCCAAGAAAGCCTGACTGCCGATGAGACACTGTATGTCGAAACAGGTCCAGAGTTTTGCTTGTATTTTAATCAATGCTGCTGAAATGATGCACTCCCAAAAGACTGTGGGGCTGACGGGTTGTGTACTTGTATTTTTTATGTGGGTACACTGGCAGATGAAGGAGACGTATCAACTGCCAATTTAATTTGTTACACAACTGATGCCTATCTGTTTTGATTCACAAATAGATTTTTGGGTCAGGCAGCGAGAGTAAAATGTGTCATTCACCCTCCCTCCACCCGACACAGCCATTTGTCGCAATCATACCACTACATTGGCACATTTTCCCACGTGACATCTGAATGAATTGACTGTCGGGTGGAGGAGGGTAGACTACACACATTTTACTAGCGTGGTGATCTGACCCAAAAAAATCGATTGTCAATCACAATGGTCGCGAAAGCCCACCTGTTGTTAACTCCGCTCACGTTGTTGAACCACTGACGTGTGCAACGCAATGTTCGACGTTCAATTTAAAACGTTTAGAATTAATTTTGCGGGTACCTTTCACCGCTCGCGCATCAAGATTCCTGCTCCAGGAAAGGATTACGACCTGCACAACCCGCGGGACATGGCGTACGTGTTCAGCGGCGCGTACATGCCACTCAGCTGCCGCATCGTTGAGCAGGTGCGTGTCGCTCCAGAGCATCTCTTCCAGGGGCACCGATTGAAACCTCGTTTCTCCAGAACTGCTTTTTGTGTGTTTAGTTTGTTGTCCTTCCCCGCCCCTGCCCACCCGCACCTCCGATTAGCACGGTTGGCTACGTACGGTGCGAAAGAAGTTCAACGCACATACGTGGTGTTGCTCATTGCAACACGGACTCCCCATGAACGGCACGGGAATTGTTGGGATTCCACGTACCTATTCACGGTACAACGAGGGGTGGAGAGCGGTGGCACTGTACGGTGGTTCACGCCGTGAAGCCGGAGATCTTGGGGCAGTCCGCGCACCCGGCTGGTGTCAGTGGTGAACGAAATCGGAGCAGGCCGTGCGGCTGCTCCCCTTCACCACCCGGCACCGACCGGTGTGGTGAAGTGTGGCCAAGCGGTAAGCAGCCATGGCGACAGACATGCCATGGGAAAGAGGCCTTCATCCAGCAGTGGATTTACAAACAGTTGTTCATATTCATTTATTAAGTAAACAATTAATTAGTTAATACCTACATTTTAAGATGCATTTAGGTTATACGTTTTTCAAGTCCATCCACATAGTGGGATGTTTTGAATTTTTTTTTTTTACTTCAGTCAAAGCTTAAATTGAGCCATTATTTCTTGGTATTTTCTACTTTTAAGTGCAAATAAGAGTTTGTGCATAAAAAAGAAAAAAAATTCTTCAGTAGAAATATCATTTGGTATCAAGTTTATACACATCGCACCTTCCATTAGGACAATTGGCTACGTACGGTGCGAAATAGTTTAAACATACATGACGTAAAACCTTTTCTTAACAAGCAAAAATTTCGCCATCAATTTGGGCTCAAGAATAATTTGTATTTTTTTTTAACGGTGCTCCGTTTTCTGAGCAACGGAAATGTTTTAATTTGCATGACGACACGCCAGAGGCGCACGCGCAGACACTGCGAGCGCATGGTGGATTCCCTTTCCCCGTGGAAACACGACAGAGTGCGTGCCTACACGGCCAACGTTTCTTATGTAGGTTTCTGCACTCTCAATCGTCCCCTCGCATTCGATAACACTGCCCCTGACCACACGGTTTTTGGCGCTTGTGAAATGGAACGTTCGTAACAATGGAAGCCTGCTTAGACGAGATCTAATGGCATCGAGGTAAATCGGGGCCTAATTTCAGAACCGAGTGGCCAGGCTTGAATGAATGTATCGCTAAAGTTACCAGGATGGCTGTGTGTTTAAAATAAAGGCGAGCTGCATCTCTGCGCTTGGCATCTACAATGAATGACGTTCTGAAGAGACTGCACGAATGGTCCCAATATCCACGGTTGGAACTTGAGCCACTTTCAAAATAAACGCTGAACATTTTCTGAAAACGTAACGGAATCCTTCTCGTGACCCCCAGCCAGTCGTGTGTGAGGTAAACTGTTATAACGTGTTTTAGTCAAGCTTGTTGATTTATAATGCTTGCTGCCGTGTTCGTCTGCTGGCCCGAGTCACCCTTGATTAAGAATTAGAATATTTATTTTTACTGGACGAATCCAATATAAATATATATCTCAATGGGTTAATCACTGGGGCAATAAACTTCTGATTGTGATTTTATGGTTAAACCCCGATATTTAATTAGCACGCCGTGTAAACAAGAGAAGCGTTTTTTTAGTCTTGTTTGTGTTCTCTTTGATCAGGTTTTGGACAGGGAAGGCTGGAACGGCTTGGAGGAAATTGCACGCCTCTTGAATGGCAATGAATTCTCAAGTCCAAAGCTCGGTCAGTAAGATATTCGTTAGTTTATGATGTAGCGAGATGTGTGGCAATAACTTTTATAAATTAATCTAAATAGAATATCGACTGCTCCCATGTGTATCACTACACGTGTAATGCTCTCCACTAAAGTGGTATTATTTCATTTATATAAAAAAAAGTTTAATCTCCCTGCTGCGTGGATCATAATACAATGCCTTTTTGTAATGTTTTTTGTAATCAACATTCTTTTTATAAACTGTCAAGTTTATAAATTGTATATTTACATTGTATTTATCGTTTATATTTTCACTTTTTGTTTTTAATTACAGTAACATCTGATGAGAATGTATTTGTCATTGTTGTAACTGTTTACATGACGAACATATTTTGTTTTGTTATCGTCACTCTTTGACCATCGTTGCATTCCCTTGAAGTGGCAGGCCGAGTCCCCCTTGCCCAGCATATTCGGTGGCGGCACCGTGGTACCCGCAAGGATCACTCTCCGGGAATGATCTTTATTTCCCTTTGTATTTCATCTGCTACCAAACATCCCATCAAAAGGGCCGTTGATGTTCTCTCCCCCCACCGCAGAGGCCCCAGGATTGAGTCGGGCGAAGCTCGTACTGGTTTTCTTTCTGGGAGGCTGCACCTACTCGGAAATTGCTGCCCTCCGTTTCCTTGGAAGGGCCAAAGGTACAAACCTCCATCGCAGTGCCGCACGTGTCAGCATTCCTACATTCCGATTCCATCGTTATTTTTTTTCTGGAGGGGGGGGGGGTTTAGGAATCGCACTGCCGAAACGTGAATTGAGCCCTTCGCGTTTCGAGTTAATAATTCTCTCGATCAAAAATCCTTGTCGGATTGCACAATTGTCGACAAATGCGCGCTTATAATCCATAATACGTGGTTTTTTGGATTAGATCGCGTGTATTTATTGGATATTGATATTGGTCGCGAAAGCCTGTGTTAAACGCTGCAAAATAATGTTTATGATTAACGTATTCATTTTCTTCTACAGGATACAACTTCGTTGTTTTAACGACATCAATAATCAACAGCACGCGGCTATTGGAGTCCCTGGTGGAGGCGCTGTAGATGGCCAGGCCGCAGCGAGTCCTGAGCTCAGCTCCCATGTGCCCTGCTGTACCTGCCAGTATCACGCTGGCGCTCTTCACGGACTTGCTTGCGTTTGTTGTTTTCTATTCGTTGACACTTTTCACACTTTCCTTGTGGTGCAATTCATTTTCCCGTTCTCACTTTATTCCATTACTGGAGGCACCCTTGGATGGATTTCAGCATCACAAGATTATTAATGGGTTTGGGGGCTATTTTATGATCGTTCCTTTTTGATAGTTTCCCGATCTCCATTATCGAGTGATACAATGGCTACGGATAACTTATTGTGATTATAATCGATGTTGTAAACGCGTTCATCTCTTCCACCCTCTAATCTGGCTGTGGTGGGAAGATAGACCAAATACTTCTCTGGGGAGATTCCACCACTACTCCTACGACTTAATGGTGAAGATGTAAAGTGTTTTGAGTGATGCATGGAAATAAAAAAAATGTTTACGTCGTCAAACGTTTGTTTAAACTATACAGTCCAATCAGAAGGTGGCTTGTTTTGTACAGGACGTGCTTGTTACTATTATTTTGTGAACACATAAAATCTAGGATGCATCACTCTCATCGGAATTTGGTGCAATTCTGAAGGTTTCATTGCACCGGTTTAATGTCCGGAGCTACACTATTCCCAACCAGACGAATATTCCGACGTCACAATGAGAACACGGCGGAGAAGAATAACGCAAGAGAGCTAGTTTGTCAAGGATCATCGCTCTCGCGTATCACAAATCAAACGCCGCGTCGTGTGACGGTCACTGTCACAACGGTGTGCTCTGATTTTTATAAACACCGAGACAAACGTGTTTGCAGTGCTGTTTGCATTCCTTATCACGCTATGCCACAATGTATTACGTATATTATGCATATGAACTTAATGGCGGTACAACGGCGATGGTGTGCGGTATAAAAAAAAAGCGAACTTTTCGCAATAATGATTCATTTTCCCGCGATTGGCAACCCCGATCAGAAAATCTTGCGGGGTGGTGGTGCGTCAAAATCAGTTCTCGCGATGTCAAAGCTGTCGGAAGATGTCAAAGCTGTCGAATGTTTATATGAGCGGCTGAACACGAAGAGGCTTCGCGGTCTGTTGCTGTATAGCAGCACCCAGCCTGGTGACGATTGGCCGCTCCGTGTTCCGAAGGCAGATTTGACTCCTCGTGCCCGAGACTTGGTCGGACCGTTCCTGGATTCAGGCGCTCGCCCTCCTGGTCGGCCCAAGAAAATCACGTGCCCCCAGATCCAATTCAGCGGTCAATATTGAACTTTTTTTTTAGCAAGTCTCAGTAAACGAAAAAAACCTTTGAATCACGTCAAACTTGGTGACAGGGTCAATTAAAGACATAAACATATTTAGTGATTCAAATTTAGATTTTAGACTGTTTTGAGGTCTGCTGTGTTATGCTGCACTGGTGTACCGCCAATACGTCCATATACAATGTAATATCGCCAAATAAATTGTCATTAGACGGTGATTCACAATTGATTTTTGTATCCGGTCGCGCAAGTCAAATGTGCGTCATACACCCTCCTGCACCCGACACAGCCATTTAATAAAGTCTCGTGAATAAACATGCCAAATGAATACCGCTTGACAGCACACCGGTATTTTTGAGAATCATAACATTGGTTGCGAAAGTCAATGTGAATACCTTGTCGTCTACAAACTAAGCTGTGTCTGCGGCAGTAGTTACATTAGGGAAACAAAGCGACATGTCTCGGACTGTGTTCGTGAACATAAGGCAGATTTGAAACACGGTAGGACCAATACTTCTGCCGTGGCTGATCATTGTTTTAATGCGGTTGGCTCACACGAAATCGATTTCTCTAAGACGAAGGTACTTTGTACGCCCACTGGCTATCAGCAAAGATTCGTTCATGAAGCCATCCCAAAATACTTATCTTGGAATTTCCGAAAAATGATCAGCAAGGCCGTGTTTGCATCACACGTGTTGAATTGCACTGTTTTCTGAAGAATCATGGATGAAGCAGCAATTACGACTCCAACTTTTTGGCACTTACTAATGCTGGTTATTGGCTAATGATGGATGCAGACATTTTTGTGACCGCCACCATCACGAGCACCCAATTTCTATCAACACGACCTCACAACCACGACGCAACTTCCACACGAAGGACAAAACGTCCATCAGCACCATCACAAGCATAATCTCCATCACCACCACAATCACCATCACTCCCACAACCCCCATCACCCTCGTGGACTTGTGAGATCACGCATCGACTCCCCGTGTCCCCATCTCTGGTTGCTGTAGAACGATAGAATGAGTCGGTGAAATTTGGAGGGCCTATACATTTCTGAGGCCCTAAATGTTCAGGTAGGGTCTGTCACGACCAATCAAGGTTGGTTACCGTGGGTGTGTGCTTGCCCATGTAAGGAATTGTGGAACAAAGTGAGAAAAATAATCGCGATTTCATGCTCGACCCCCCAATGCTAGATCTCACGCTCCATCCCATGCCGTGACCCACGCTCACACCCACCACCTGCTCAGTGCTTCGCTCGGCTTGTGTGCCACTGCTCTCGTCTCGTTGTTGGGTAATCCCTCCACAACCCCACGGACTCGTTCTGTCGCTCCAAGGGCCACGACTTTGCAGAGGCGCCGCCGACTCTGGCGAGAGTCGCGCGCGAATTTGACGACGACGCCGCCACCTCCAGGGCGACCATAAACAGCAGCACGGCCCTGCAGCATACAGCACACAGTCCTGTAGCATACAGCACACTCCTGTCCTGTAGCACACAGCCCTGTAGCATACAGCCCTGCAGCATACAGCACACAGTCCTGTCCTGTAGCACACAGCCCTGTAGCACACAGCCCTGTAGCACACAGCCCTGTAGCACACTCCTGTCCTGTAGCACACAGCCCTGTAGCACACAGCCCTGTAGCACACAGTCCTGTCCTGTAGCACACAGCCCTGTAGCACAGTCCTGTCCTGCAGCACACAGCCCTGTAGCATACAGTCCTGTAGCACAGTCCTGTAGCACACAGTCCAGCAATACACAACTCTGCATCACACAATCCAGCATCACACAGCCCTGCAGCACAGTCCAGCAGCACACAACCCTGGCCTGCAGCATCACACCGCCCTGCACAGTCGAAGTACGCAGACACGCGTTGTGGAGATGGCTCGGCACATCTCTCAGAGACGGGAGAGGCATGGAGGAGAGCCGTGAGCGAGCTGTGTGGAGCCCTGGTCGGTAGGTAGAGGAGCGACCACGTGGCGAGAGAGCTGGGAGAGTTGTGTGTCGGCCTGGTGGAGAGATGGAGAGAGAGCTGGGAGAGTTGTGTGTCGGCCTGGTGGAGAGATGGAGAGGGAGCTGGGAGAGTTGTGTGTCGGCCTGGTGGAGAGATGGAGAGGGAGCTGGGAGAGTTGTGTGTCGGCCTGGTGGAGAGATGGAGAGGGAGCTGGGAGAGTTGTGTGTCGGCCTGGTGGAGAGATGGAGAGGGAGCTGGGAGAGTTGTGTGTCGGCCTGGTGGAGAGATGGAGAGGGAGCTGGGAGAGTTGTGTGTCGGCCTGGTGGAGAGATGGAGAGAGAGCTGGGAGAATTGTGTGTCGGCCTGGTGGAGAGATGGAGAGGGAGCGACCACGTGGCGAGAGAGCTGGGAGAGTTGTGTGTCGGCCTGGTGGAGAGATGGAGAGAGAGCTGGGAGAGTTGTGTGTCGGCCTGGTGGAGAGATGGAGAGGGAGCTGGGAGAATTGTGTGTCGGCCTGGTGGAGAGATGGAGAGAGAGCTGGGAGAGTTGTGTGTCGGGCCTGGTGGAGAGATGGAGAGAGGAGCTGGGAGAGTTGTGTGTCGGCCTGGTGGAGAGATGGAGAGAGAGCTGGGAGAGTTGTGTGTCGGCCTGGTGGAGAGATGGAGAGGGAGCTGGGAGAGTTGTGTGTCGGCCTGGTGGAGAGATGGAGAGGGAGCTGGGAGAGTTGTGTGTCGGCCTGGTGGAGAGATGGAGAGGGAGCTGGGAGAGTTGTGTGTCGGCCTGGTGGAGAGATGGAGAGGGAGCTGGGAGAGTTGTGTGTCGGCCTGGTGGAGAGATGGAGAGGGAGCTGGGAGAGTTGTGTGTCGGCCTGGTGGAGAGATGGAGAGAGAGCTGGGAGAATTGTGTGTCGGCCTGGTGGAGAGATGGAGAGGGAGCGACCACGTGGCGAGAGAGCTGGGAGAGTTGTGTGTCGGCCTGGTGGAGAGATGGAGAGAGAGCTGGGAGAGTTGTGTGTCGGCCTGGTGGAGAGATGGAGAGGGAGCTGGGAGAATTGTGTGTCGGCCTGGTGGAGAGATGGAGAGGGAGCTGGGTGAGTTGTGTGTCGGCCTGGTGGAGAGATGGAGAGAGAGCTGGGAGAGTTGTGTGTCGGCCTGGTGGAGAGATGGAGAGAGAGCTGGGAGAGTTGTGTGTCGGCCTGGTGGAGAGATGGAGAGGGAGCTGGGTGAGTTGTGTGTCGGCCTGGTGGAGAGATGGAGAGAGAGCTGGGAGAGTTGTGTGTCGGCCTGGTGGAGAGATGGAGAGGGAGCTGGGAGAGTTGTGTGTCGGCCTGGTGGAGAGATGGAGAGGGAGCTGGGAGAGTTGTGTGTCGGCCTGGTGGAGAGATGGAGAGGGAGCTGGGAGAGTTGTGTGTCGGCCTGGTGGAGAGATGGAGAGGGAGCTGGGAGAGTTGTGTGTCGGCCTGGTGGAGAGATGGAGAGGGAGCTGGGAGAGTTGTGTGTCGGCCTGGTGGAGAGATGGAGAGAGAGCTGGGAGAGTTGTGTGTCGGCCTGGTGGAGAGATGGAGAGGGAGCTGGGAGAGTTGTGTGTCGGCCTGGTGGAGAGATGGAGAGAGAGCTGGGAGAGTTGTGTGTCGGCCTGGTGGAGAGATGGAGAGGGAGCTGGGTGAGTTGTGTGTCGGCCTGGTGGAGAGATGGAGAGAGAGCTGGGAGAGTTGTGTGTCGGCCTGGTGGAGAGATGGAGAGGGAGCTGGGAGAGTTGTGTGTCGGCCTGGTGGAGAGATGGAGAGGGAGCTGGGAGAGTTGTGTGTCGGCCTGGTGGAGAGATGGAGAGGGAGCTGGGAGAGTTGTGTGTCGGCCTGGTGGAGAGATGGAGAGGGAGCTGGGAGAGTTGTGTGTCGGCCTGGTGGAGAGATGGAGAGGGAGCTGGGAGAGTTGTGTGTCGGCCTGGTGGAGAGATGGAGAGGGAGCTGGGAGAGTTGTGTGTCGGCCTGGTGGAGAGATGGAGAGGGAGCTGGGAGAGTTGTGTGTCGGCCTGGTGGAGAGATGGAGAGGGAGCTGGGTGAGTTGTGTGTCGGCCTGGTGGAGAGATGGAGAGGGAGCTGGGAGAGTTGTGTGTCGGCCTGGTGGAGAGATGGAGAGGGAGCTGGGAGAGTTGTGTGTCGGCCTGGTGGAGAGATGGAGAGGGAGCTGGGAGAGTTGTGTGTCGGCCTGGTGGAGAGATGGAGAGGGAGCTGGGAGAGTTGTGTGTCGGCCTGGTGGAGAGATGGAGAGGGAGCTGGGAGAGTTGTGTGTCGGCCTGGTGGAGAGATGGAGAGGGAGCTGGGAGAGTTGTGTGTCGGCCTGGTGGAGAGATGGAGAGGGAGCTGGGTGAGTTGTGTGTCGGCCTGGTGGAGAGATGGAGAGGGAGCGAGCACGTGGCAGCAGGAAGCCTTCTTCCGGCACGTGGTGGAGTTGGTTGGGGAGTTGGTTAACTCGGTCGAGGGTGTCAACCAACACCGGCCCGACTTCTCAAGAACAGATGTCACGTGAAGCAGGCGAGTTGTGAATCTTACCACACACATTGTGACCATGAACGGAATATCCTGTGTATGCGCGTACAATATTTAGGAGTTCACTGTAACCGTATCCCGTTTTGGAGGGTTTATTTCATCCCAATGTAGAGAAACATTTAAAATCATTTCGGTTATGGGGGGGGGGGGTAGTTAAAACCTGCATACTACAGGTGGTTTGGGTTAGATCACGTAAATATAAATATGTCGTTAAACCCAGCACCACCCGACACAGCCAAAGTAAGGGTTGTCACGTGAACGGAACGTGCCAATTCGTTACCAGTACAGCACACCGGTGCAGTGCCCGACTCAGCTAGTGCGGGGCCTGTAGCATCTAACCTATATAATTAATTTTTTGTCTGTCTGTCTGTCTGTTTGTCCGTCTGCGTACGCTCCCTTCCGGGGGATTTAGCTATCGGACCGTGGGGTTCGCCGAGATTAAATTTTGCAGGTGGGCACGCCCCCGGCCCGCGGTAAACTTAGGCATTTCCGATTTTTCGTCTCTAAATTTTAAATCGGACCGATTATCGATTTAGTGCGATTGCTCTTTATTTAGTTATATAATTCTTTATTTATTTAATATTGCCGGCCGGCGCGGACCACGGCGGTTGCCCCTGGCAACGGGTAGCAACAACTTCGCTGCGGGGTGGACGCCATTTTGAATTCCCGTTACAAATAGGCGCACGCATTAACACGCGATTCTGAGGTAAATTCATCAAAGTTTCACGTCCTCTTCACTCCCCTTCCAACCCAATGTGTGCAATTACTATTATAGGGTCGGTAGATAATAAAATTATAGCGATTAGACAGTATTATTGTACATACAC